TATGGGCTGCCACCGCAGCAGCCGCCAGTGCAGCCAAGCCAGCCGGTTGATCCGCGGCGCATGGCTGTAGCAGGTGGTGTGCCGCCGCGCCCCATGATGTCACTGGCCACGCAGCCCCCACCACAGCAGCCGCAGCCGCCGCAGCCGAGCATGCCAGCCATGCAGCAGCCACAGCCAGCACCAGGCGGAGGCGCACTGACAGCAGAGCAGCAGCAGGGTGAGTCGCTGCTGTGGCTTGCCATGGCCACAGCACGTGTGTTCTGCCCAGCGCAGGACCAGTACTTGCATTGCTGGTGAACGTCAACTGCATGACACGCCTATTGAGGGCAGCAACACAGCGCAAGCTTCATATGTGCACCGCCCTGACCGGCAACACGCCTGCCTACCACCCTCCCGCCTGCCTTCTTGCAGCCCTACTGCAGCAGGTCATGTCGCTGACCCCGCAGCAGATAGAGTTGCTGCCGCCACAGCAAAAGGCGCAGGTGTTGGCACTGCAGCAGCAGTTGGGCCACCGCTAACAGCTTGGACCCGCAAGGGTGCCTGCACACCACCACCAGCCATGGACATCAGACTACAGCTGATAGGGGCTCTCTGTCTGGCCTTGATCCCACTTTGCCAAGCTGTAATGCTCTTGTTGAGTGCACGTGCTCTCTGGGGAAAGCAGCACCATGGCAGTCAAAGTATGGAAAGCCAGCCACGCGCAGACGCACGAGGTTCACAGTGTCATTCAGGTGGTTCTTTAACAACGCTGCCTTTGATTTACATCAGAACCATGAATCTTAATCAAATGTTGAGTTGAGGAAGCACTAGATGCAACCAAACCAGTTGCAAAGTTGTAACCAACCAAATGCAGAATCACCAAGGCGGGGTCTCCTGTTGCAGCACTGTGCAATGATGTGGTGGCACAGCACGGCTGCCCAACACTTGGGGTGGCTGCCCCGCAAAGTGCCAGGACACATAACAGTCCGCAAGGGACAGCTTGCCGGGACGGCTGACTGCCACCTGCAGCGGCATCTCCACAACCTGCCCTGGCCGCACCACCGGCAGCGTCATCCGCGTCCGGCCGCACCACACGTGCTGCCGCATGGGGGGTAGCGCCTCTACCGTAGCCAGCACCACTGGCCCACTGCCGCTGCTACTCAGCGTGGGAGAGCGGGCACCGGCGCTGCCAACAGGTGCCTGGCCATTGTCCATGGTTGCTGCTGCTGGCTGCGCCTGTGAGGTGGCCCAAGTGGGCACGCCGATCGGTGCCACTTGGCCATCCGGCAGCCGGCCCACCTCTACGCACACAGCAGCTGGCGCCGCCATGGTGTTGCGCACAAGGAGGGTCAGGGGCAGCACGCACAGCGGCGCCACGCCAAAGTTGTGAGCTAGGCTGACAGGCCCTCGCAATCGGGCATCAATGGCTGGCGCGGTGTGGAGCCTGCAACAGGCGGGATGTACATGAAGTAAAGTGAATGAAGTGAAGGCTGGACAAGCAAATGTTGCCACCTCATTGCAGAGCACCAGAGCGTGCAGCAAATGGTCAATCAGTCACAATCACACACACCTCTGGTTGTGCAAGCAACAGAAGCCACGGCGCGGAGCTGCACCATCCTTGCCGTCTGCCTGCCAAAGCACAACCACATCCATCCCTTCTGCGCCATCCTGCGTATGCTGCTTTGGGCGCTGTTGCGGCGATGGATGCTGTCGCTGCTGCTGCTGGGCTGGAGGCTGCAAATGCTTAGGGGTGACTGGGGCTGCTGCTGCCACGTGCCTGCTGACCTGGAGCAGCCCAGCCTCAGCTGCCGTCATGATGGCCCCTGTCGCTGCTCCATCTACGCCTGCTGACGCATCCTCACCAGGTACCAACAGGCGATGCATGGCAGCAGATGCATCTGGTGCAATTGGCAGGCTGCCGCCACCATCACCGCTGCCGCTGCGACTGCCATCTAGGCTGTCGGCATTGCACAGCTGCCAGCTGCTGCTATGGCAGCTCAACCCAGTGACCAACACGGACTCGAACGACAGGTTGTGGTAGCTGCGCCTGCAACAGGCACCCCGCCCGGCGCAGAGCCAGCCACCCCTGCTACCAGGCGGCAAGACAGGTACAGCAACGGCAGTGCCTGCACCGCTTGAGCATAACGTGCTGTGCGGTATGCCAGGGCATCGAGCCCGCACCAGTGGCTCGTACCGCCATGCCACCACCAAATGTGCCGCACCCGCCTGTGGCGCCCTGCAAAATAGGAAATAAGGCTGGGCTTTGATAGCATTCAGGAGCATGGAAGGCACTGCAGCGTCCTCGCATTTCGCAAGGCGACATCACTGTTCGGCCAACACAGCAGGAGCCAATCAAGAGCATTATCCCAATGCCGCGAACCTGAACCAGACTGGAAGCGTGAGTTCTTGGCCCACACCCAGCCGCACATTGGGCAGCATGTAGACAGCGACACCCTGACGGAAGGTGGGGGCCGGCACAGGCTCTGTAAGGCAGCCACCGAGGCTGCTGCGGGGGCTGCTGAAGCTGCTGCGCCGACTGTTGAGGTGGGCGGGAGGGCTGCTAACCATTGCAACAGTGGCGCTGCTGACACACCCTAAAGCGGCGGGAGTTGCATGGACAGGCGAGCTAATAGGCTGCTGCCGCTGCTCCTGGTTGGGGCTGACTGAAGTTACAATGCCGTCGCTGCCGATGCCGTCACTGCCATTTCCAGAACCGGCTGCTGGGCCGCCACCGAGGAAGATGCCTGCGGTCCCTGCTGCCGCCATGGACAAATGCTGTAGGGTCATGGCCCCGCTGTTCTTCAGCCGCATGCTGCAGCACACCACCTCCCCCGCTAGCACTGCTGCCGGCAAACCCGTGACGCTGACCTCCAATCGCGGCATGGGGGGCAGCACGCGGAAGGACATGCCACCGGGGGCGGGCCGATCGGCATCGAGGAGCACCCTGGAAGCATCAGGAGTGGGGGTTGCGCATCACCCACAGCAGCAAGAAGGGACATATGAGCTGAATGCAGGACCATGGATGGCCGCACAGGCTTCCGACATGCCAGCATGTGGCAGCGGGCCGGCATTGTCGCACTCACTTGCTGCTACTGCCAGGCTTGCGTGAGATGGGTCGGGGTATGTGGAAGGCCGCCTGGCCATGAGCGGTGCCGTTGAGCAGCCAGGCGAGGCCGTGCAGGTGCAGGCTGCCTGGCTTCAGTGGCACAACGCGCGAGTGCACAATCACACGCTTTCCGCCCTGCAGCGTCACGTTGTCCTCGTGAACCTGCAACATGGGGTGGGGGTGGAGGGTCAGCCAGCTTGAACACACTGCAGGCAGCAAAAATGCCAGCAGGAAGCGGAACGCAGGAATGGAAGAAGGAAAGGCAGGTAAAGTGAAACGGTAGGGAGCAGTGTGCAGCGCTGGGCAGCCCACCTGGAAGCCTGGCTGCTGCTGCTGCCCGCCACCCTCACTCGGCGCCGGCACTAAGCTGCCATCCGGGCTGCGACTGGCACTGCTGCCGCTCGCCAACATGCCAGCACCCGAGGATGAGGTGGCG